CATGGAGAGCCTTGGGAAAGAATATGTAGCTTGCCTCTCTTTATGTACTTGGGCTAGTATCACTGCTAACTCTAGCCTTCAAGGCCATATAGACTCTAATCTCTGCATTTCCTCCCGTGTGGCTGATACCTTTTCCAAACCAGCACAAGTCCCCAAGGATCTGCCCACAGGTAGTTCTCAGCAGCTTTGCTTTCCCCCAGAGCTTCCCCCTCCCTCACTTCCCTCATCTTCATGGAACTGTGCTTCCTTCCTATTCCTCAAGCTTTGGCAACTCTCTGCTCACTGTGTATTGAATTCTGTCCTCTAAGACAGGCTCCACCTTCGGGACATTATACCCCCAAGGGAACTTTGCCCATGTCTAGACCTGGTTTTGCTTGTCCTGGCTCAGGGGCTCAGGGGCTGGGTGCTGCTCTAATGGTGGAGGCCCAGGGTGCTGCTGAACACCCTGCCCATCCTATAGTGCAGGGACAGCTTGTGCTGCGAGGAATTATCCAGCCAGGCCATGCATTGTGGCACCAAAGAGTCGACACCAAATACCTGTAGTCTGAGGGCTTATTTCAAAGAGCTTGCTCCACTTTAGGTCTCTGACAGGAATGCTGGGTTTCCAACATCCACACTTGCCTCTGAACTGACCACAGAGGCAAAGGTTCCCAGGATTTCCAGGAAATCCCTGGAAGAATGCATCACTCTCCAGGAAGTGTTCATCAGGAGAATGTTGTTCAGGACTGTCTAGCAGTAACACAGCCAGTCAGGCACAGGGATGGCCAGGCATGAGGACGAATACCCAGGATTCCCCTGTCTTTACCAAGCTCTGTGTGCTCATCAGCCCTGAAGTCCTCAGATCCTTGTGGTTTTGCATTTGGGCAGAGGTCTCACGAAACAGGGGAGATGGCTTCTGTCATCTGTCACCAGGGATTTGGGCTCCAGCTCTTATTCATCCTACCTGAGAGTTTAAGCTTTAACCAAGGCTTGGTCTTTTTGAAGCCCAGTCCCCATCCTGAAACTCCTAATGGCTCCTAGCTCCACTAAGGGTCACTTCATTAACATAACCTCAGGTGTGGTTGAAAGGAGCAGCTCTGAGCACCCAAGAAAGATTCCAAGTTGTGTGCTGGGGCGCTGAGGCTAAATACTAATTACATATGTCTGTCTACATGTATCTACATACTACATTTTATATTGACTTCTGCTCTTTACCCTAGAATATACCCAGCACACAGTCAGCTGTCAGAAAGTGTGTGCTGAACGAGTGAATGAATGAATGAATGAATGAATGAATGAATGAAATGAGAACACACTGTATTAGAATGTTTTTGTTGTTGGTGGTGTTTTGTTTTTGGTTTTTCAATGAGTAACAAATCCGTCTTGGAGTGGTTTGCCTACTTGGAAGCACAGCTACTAGGTAGAGGAACACTGGGCACGTTGGAGCCTGTCTTCCGTCCCATCCACACCCACTAAGATTGTCAGCTTCCCTGAGTCCTGAGATTTATTTGTTTTGCTTGAAATAAGATAGTTTAGCTCCTGGTTAGGAATGTTCTGTCCGTTCTGTTGGGTTCAGATGATGTGCATTCTTGTTCTGTGGCTTCAAGGTCTTTGTTTTATTTTTCTTTCTTTAATGAAAGCAAACAAACAAAAATTTTAACAGTAAGGCAGAAGGGTGTGAACACCCTCCCACCGAGTGCCTGCTTGGAGCCTCATTTTAAATCCTGCTTTGGCCTTGTCTTTGACAAGTGAAAAAAAAAATGTTTTCTTGGCTTCAGAGATGGAGTTTCCAAGGAGGGATCTTGCCCTTTTGTTTCTTTCGTTTGGAGGAATTGTTTGTACCAAGCAACGGGTCATGGGTGATGGAACACGCTGTAAGCAGAGGCTCCTGACATGCCCTGCCAGCTGCCCCAGTGGAGGAGAGGGACCCAGCTTGGTCCCAGGGCGTCTCCTCCCATGCTCCTCCTAAAGTCCGCATGCACGTCCAGCTGTCCCAGGCTCTGTCTGACTCTCAGCCCCTCAGCCCCAGTACTTCTCAATCTGGCCTCCTGGTTATAGTGATAATTCCCTGACCTACTCTGTATGGCGTGTGTGCATGTGTGGTCTCGGGGCACATGCCATGGTATGTGTGTGGAGGTCACATCAGTGCTTGTCTTCCACCCTTCTATGAGGCTGAGTCTCTTGTTCACTGCTGCATCTCTCAGGTTGTTGAGTCCTCAAACTTCTGGCAATTGTCCTGCCTCTGCCTCCCATTTTCCATAAAATAAAGTGTGGGCCAAGGGGATCTGAAGCCTTTTATGTGGGTTCTGGGGATCTGAACTCCGGTCGCTGTGCTCACATAGAAAGTGCTTTACCCACCGAGTCATCTCCCCAGTCCTGTACAATGCGACGTTTGTTTATTATATTTCTGGCTGTGGATTTACAAGGCTCATTTTCATAGGAAAGATCTACAAAGTGCTGCTGAAATGAACTGTATAGAATCTGTCCAGTTCACCTCTCCTCTAAATATTTAAGCACAAATGCTGGCAGCACACAGAACACTCTGTGGGTGGAAGAAACATCACTTGGCTAATTCCTTGCCAACGTATTTCAAGAAAACATGGGCTTTAGATCCCAGTGACATGAAGGTTTCTACTGTAGGTTTGTGACTGTTTATATGTACAGCCTGTAATGAAGGCTTAGTTAATGCCACTTCTCTGGGGACAGAGGCTTGTTTGAGGTGTACAATGGGACTTGAGTCCACCGCCCTTGGGCAATTGCCAACCCAAGGAAAAAGAATGTGGCTTAGGGTCTCCCATCTGGGATTGTGTATTACATGCTTTTAGAACTCACTGCCGGTTAAAGATTGTAATGTGGCTAGTGATGACTGTTCCCTATGTTGTGTACATTTCCTGGGTCACCAAACACATGTCAGGCCTATAGAAACTCTTTACACACATTAATTAATTTCGTGCCTTAAAAAAAGTTACAAGGGAATACTATTATTATTCTAATTTTACTGGTCCTTGAGGAAATGAGAACTCGGAGAGGTTGAATAGCTTAAGGTCACACAGCCAGTGGGTGGGCGTTTATGGCAGCTAGAAACCAAGTCAGGCTTTTTCATTAGTCATCTATTGCTCCTTTAATGGCATCTCCAAAGAAGTGTCATTTGGGGGAAAAATACACTTTAGAACCGTGGCATTATGTTAATGGATTTTTAAGAATCGGGTCTTTCCTGGGATGATGAAAGTGAAAAATGACTTCGGGGTCTGAAGTGTTACGTGCCTCAGGGGAATACTGTACATTGGATTTAATTGCTTAATAACTTAAAGTCAGATGTTTTTTTTTCATATGATACACTTGACTGAAAGAGAGGATCATTTCATTGTTGCTAAATTTTCATTAACTTTTGCTTCCTAAGCTGTGGCTGAGAGACTATGGAGGCTGTGAGGAGACAGCTTGGTTCCTTGTGCGTTTCCTTACCCTTCCCATCCCCCTCCTTACCACTCTTCAGATTTATCATTGAGTTAAAAAATGGTGTTTTGATTCTTCCCTCAAACTGGAAGTCATTGATGATCTTGGTCTGTCCTCCCTCCCTCCTGCCCTCCCTCCCTCTCTCCCTCCCTCCAACTTGACAAAAGCTAAAGTTATATGGGAAGAGAAATCTCAACTGAGAAAAGTCCCCCATCAGATTGGCCTGTAAGGCACATCTTTTGTTTGTTTGTTTTTTTTTTTTTTGAATTTTATTTTTTCTTATCAGTTACATTTTATTAACTCTGTATCCCAGCCGTGTCCCGATCCCTCATTCCCTCCCAGTCCCTCCCTCCCTCATCTCCACCGTGCCCCTTGCCAAGTCCACTAATAGGGGGGACCTCCTCCCCATTCATCTGATCCTGTTTTATCAGGTATCTTCAGGACTGGCTGCAAAGCTCTCCTCTGTGGCCTAACAGGACTGCTCCTCCCTTGGGGGGTGGGGAGGCCAAAGAGCCAGTCATTGAGTTCCTGTTAGAAATAGTCCTTGTTCCCCTCACTATGGGAAACCAATTGGTTACTGAGCTACCACAGGCTACATCTGAGCAGAGGTTCTAGGTTACATTCATACATGGTCCTTGGTTGCATGTCAGTCTCAGAAAAGACCCTGTGGTAAGGCACATCTTTAGAGCAGTTTCTTGCTAATGACTGACATGGCCCAGCTCTCTGTGGGTGTTTCCACTACTGGGCTAATGGTCCTGGGTTGTGTAAGAAAACAGGCTGAGCAAGCTATGAGGAGCCAGCCAGTAAGTAGTGCTTCTCCATGGCCTCTGTCTCCACGTTCCTGCCCTGACTTCTTTCAATGATGGACTGTGGTGAGGAACTGTAAGATGAAGTAATCCTTTTCCTCCCAAGCTGCTTTTGGTCATGGTGTTTTATCATAGCAGCAGAAACCCAAGGAAGATACTGTGTGTGGATCTGACGTCATTACACAATCTTGAGACACTGAGATATCATAGCTCAGATATGTGAATATACGGGTTATGCAAAATGTGGTATTTGGGGTCACATTTGGTGACAGAGCATGAGCCCTGAACCCATGCACAAAGGCCCCAAACATCTTCATTTATCTTGTAAGATCTGTGACTTGCTTATGAGCAAATAATTGTGACTGAAACGGAATGATGGAAGAGGGAGATGTATGTTTGCTCTTCTCTGGGATAAGAGTGTCTAAGTTACCACAAAACTTATCTTTGTTTATGTTTAGATTGCCTGGCATTAATAAGAATCTGCTCCCCATGAGTAAAAAACATTCTGGGGGAATGCCAGTCTTCCTGTCAGCGAGGAGCCCATGATGTCTGCTAATCTCCAGTGCGGCTCCATGCTCTCGACGGATGCCACTTCAACTTTCTTTGGTGCCATGGGAAAAACCTGAAGCACGAGCAAAATTGCTTCCAAACCTGTGGCCGCTTCAGTATTGCATGGCTGGTGCACAACAGACAGTTGGCATTTGCTTTTTTGTGCTGTCCTCCATATCTGAACCAAAGAATGCGTCTCCTTCTCTAGTGCATCGGTGTCTGCTGTCTTCTGCATTTGTTTCTGCTGCTTGTGCCTTCCCACCGTCTTCTGTCATCACAGGAAACCCTTGAAGTTTCTCAGTGGACTCCTCGAGGGCTGGCCCATGGCACTCTAAGCCAGCTCTCCAAGGTCTCTACCATGAGGCACTGCATCAATTGCTGCATACAGCTGTTCCCCGAAGACACACACAAACAGCAAGTTGCCTGCCAAGGAGGCCCCCATCATAGTCACCAGGCGTGCCCCACTTGCAAGGGAGAAAACAAAATTCTGTTTCGTGTGGACAGTAAGCAGATGAACTTGCTTGCTGTTCTCAAAGTGAGGACCGAGAGCAATGAGAACTGGGGTTGGTTTTTGCGCTTCAGGAAGGGGAAGCAATGTAGCCTGATCTTTGGATTGATAATAATGACCTTGGTGATGGCTTCTTACATCCTTTCTGGGGCTCATCAAGAGCTTTTGATTTCATCCCCTTTCCATTATGGGGGCTTTCCCAGCAACCCCAGCTTGATGGACAGCGAGAACCCAGGTGATGTGAAAGAGCATCACTACCAGCCTTCTGTAAATAATATCTCCTATGTGAAGGACTATCCAAGCATTAAGCTAATTATCGACAGCATCGCTGCCAGGATTGAGTTTACGAACAGGCAGCTCCCAGACTTACAAGATCTCAAGAGACAAGAGTTGCACGTGAGTAGCTGCCGGTCAGTCTTCATGATTGGCTTTTAAAGAATGGATTCTTCCTCCCCTACCGGCGTCTTTTGGAACATGACAGCCACTTCCTGGATGTCTTACAGCAAGGATAATTTGACAGCCTCTGGGATGAGAAAGCACTGTGTACTTATGCTATGGAAACGCCAAGGGGGGAGTTTGCTGTCCCAAATGGCCCTAGAGATGTTTAAAGATCATCTCTTCTCATCATTGCCATTTGGGGACTTCTTGCCTGCAATGGGGTCATGGTGGTTTAAGTTGCTTTTATAGATCACCATCATTTAGTATTTTTTAAAAAGATTTATTTTCAGCCATGTGTGTATGTGTATGCCTATATAGAGGTATGTGCATGTGAGGGCATGTGCCCATGAAAGCGAGTGAAGCTGAATCCCCTGAACTGGAGGCACAGGTGGTTGTGAGCTGCCTGATGTGGGTGCTGGGAGCCAAACTCTGATCTTGTGGAAGAGCAGCCACACTCTTAACTACTGAGCCACTTCTCCAGACCTGTCATTTAGACTTTGTTGTTGTTGGGACAGAGTCTCTCTGTATGTAGCCTTGGCTGTCCTGGAACTCACTGTGTAGACAAGGCTGGCCTGGAACTCACAGAGACCCACCTGCCTCTGCTTCCCAAGTGTAGGGATTACAGTTGTGGGTCACCACTCGTATTTGAGAATATGGTGGTTTTTTTTGCTAATTGTTTTCCTTCACTGTGTCCGTCCTCTTTTGTCTTCGATTGCAGATGTTTTCCGTAATCCCCAGTAAATTCCTTCCGAACAGCAAGAGCCCCTGTTGGTATGAGGAGTTCTCCGGCAGGAACAACACTGACCCCTACCTGACCAATTCCTATGTGCTGTACTCCAAGCGGTTCCGCTCCACCTTCGACGCTCTGCGAAAGGCCTTCTGGGGCCACCTGTCTCACGTGCGTGGCAAGCACTTCCGCCTGCGCTGCCTGCCGTACTTCTACATCATCGGGCAGCCCAAGTGCGGGACTACTGACCTCTATGACCGCCTTCGCCTGCATCCAGAAGTGAAATTCTCAGCCATCAAGGAGCCCCACTGGTGGACCCGGAAGCGCTTCGGTGAGTGTTGGGTCTCGTGATTTCCTTTGTCGTTGTGTGGATGCATGTTGTTGTGGCAGGTGAGGGGTGGGTATGAGATCCGGTGGAGGAAGGCAAGGTGAGGTTGGAGAGAAGATATATTGAGATCCAGAGACATGGCACTTGTCATTAGATAGTCACATTAGTCTGTCTTGTGGCATAGCAACAAAACGCCAGTGTTTATTTGGTTCATGATTCTCGGGGCTAAAGGTTCCAAAAAGTCTTTTGTCGAAGTCCTGGTGAGAGGCTGCTGGTTACATCACAAGATGGCAGAGAAAGAAAATGGTGACTGGCCACATGCAGCAGAGGCCAAATTCGTGGCGGGGCCTGGCTTTATAGTAACCCACTCTCACAGGAGCAGAATCACTCCCAAGAGAATAGCATTAAGCCCTCATTACCTAGTCACTTTCCACTGTGCTTTCCAAGGGTTCCATGACCCTCAGTACCCTGCCCTGAGTACCAGCCTCACACGAGCCTCTGGGGGATGCACTCAAACCATAGCAACGATTCACAGGCAAAGACACACCTAAGTGAGGTACTGGCTGAGTGTTAGCTGTGTGCAGGGCAAGTGGGCAGGTGCATAATGGAAACTTCTTGTTAATGTTGGGGTGTGTGCGTGTGTGAGAAAGTTGTCCCAAAGAACTTTAACACCCAACCTTAAGAGGGATCAATGTGTGCCAGGAACTGGGGTGGCTGGCGCCCAGCCCTTTACTGAAGCTGTCACACCTAGAGGAGACACAACCGTGGGCCTCAGCTGTGTGACCTTCCCTGTCTACCGCATGTGTCTGAAATGCACTGGAGATACATATCATCCCTGGTCAACAGGGTTGATTGTGGGCACTGCCTGCCTTGCCCCGCCTTGCAGGCTGGTTTCTGTTTCACCCAGCCCCAGGCACCCTGTGGCCCTTGGTCACTGTTTCCTGTCCATAACCTTTTCGTCCTGCCAGGAGACATTTGGTCACTGAAGCTAATGGGTGATACATGGCCTGTTGTCTGCCAAAGTCTGGGCGGACCATGAAGGCAGTTTCCATATAAAGGAACCAGGTCACTAGAAGAGAATCTTAAGACGTTTTCCTTAGACTAACCTTTCCTGACAGATGTTTGATTTCATCCTTTTGATGTTCATTCTGGAGTGGTTTAGCAGTAGCCGCGGAGTAGCCAAGGTCTAATGCATTTGATGTGCGCGTCTGAACACATACTCTCCCACTCCAGCCTGAGTTTCTCCTGAAGAGAAACCAGCTTCCTCCTGGCAGGAAGGAGGGAAGAACAGGGCAGGGCATGCCTCAGCTGCTAATATTCAATGTCACCTTGAGTCTCCTGTTATGTTGGCCAGAACTGTTCTCTTTCTGCTTTGCAGTACCTTTGGTAGCTGAGGTGCTGAGCAGTATATGTCTTTAAATGTTTACAAGCTATTTTAAGGCAGGGAACAAATTTCAGATGTGTGTGTCCATTAAGGGGACCCTCAGTTCACCTCACTGTTTGGACAAGTGGCAGTGTGCTTTTTGGAATACGTCCTTATGAAGCACCTATTGGCGAGCGCCTGAAGGTGACAGGATGCTGCTTCCTTGCTGCCTACCTTTTGTCCTTCTTTATATTTGGCACGTCTAGGTGCCAAATCATAGGTGCCACCACCGTGTGTCTGCTTTCATCTTGATTGGTGAAAATGGCGATCAACTCTCAACTCTAGCCCACCACGTATCCCCTTTTCTGCCTCTTGAATAGGCGTGGTGTCTTGTAAGTGGCCACTACCCGGCGGCAGTGGTGATGTCTTTCACTCTGTGAGGCGTGTACGCCCTGAAGGAGGCAGGTATTGACAGAGCTCGCCATCCCACACCCACGCACCTCCTCCAGAAGCTTAGCTGCATCAAGCTTTTTGCTGCTAAAGTTAGGTCCCCTGGACTTTTCCCTCCTTCTCTGGTCATGCTCCAGGAGGCCACCACCCCATCCATCAGTGGCAATGCTGCCTTCAGTAACTCACTTCTTGGTTCCTGTAGGAATCGTCCGCCTGAGGGATGGACTACGAGACCGCTACCCTGTGGAAGATTACCTGGACCTCTTTGACTTGGCTGCACACCAGATCCATCAAGGACTGCAGGCTGCCTCTGCAGAGCAGCCGAGCAAGATGAATAAAATCATTATTGGTAGGTAACTTCAGGGGACCTGGCAGAAGCTTCCTCTTTGGGGTCCTGGCCCATATTCTGGGCCTAGCGCTGTCTCACCTGCAGAGTGTTTGCAGGTGAGTCCCTTCCCCATGTGGCAATCACTCTTAATCACTCTTCGTCCCAGGTGAAACAGCCACATCATTTGTACCGTTACTCCAAAGCAGAAACATTCAGTGAGCTTGCTGATTCTGTGCAGACTCAAGGATAACTGAAATGGCTTTTTAAGAAAGTTGCCCTTTCTTTGTTGTTCCTTAAATTAAGCAGGTGTGTTTTCCTTCTTTTCACACTGGCCTGATTGGAGTTAGCTTTCTGATGAGTCACTGATGGAATGTGAGGACTGCAGGAAGGAGGCAGCATTTCCTCTTGGTCTCAGCAGAGCTCTGCCTGCTCCCTGGCACGAGTCTCCGTGTAACCCAAGCGCCTTTAAGCATTCAAAATGAAGTTGTTTGAGCAGCTTGTGCTCAGGACGTGGAGGCTGGAGAATCCTGAGTTTGAGGCGTGCTTGGCTCTTTAGCAAGACTCTGTCTGAACAAAGCAAAACTAAGCAAAGCCATACAAATGAAGCAAAGGAAGATGAGACAAACTGAGATCTTTTGATTAAAAAAAAATGTAAGAAAGTTTTATTGAAAATTTAAGCTGGACAGTGGTGGCAGCCATACATACCTTTAATCCCAGCACTTAGGAGGCAGAGGCAGGTAAATCTCTGAGTTTGAGGTCAACCTGATCGACAGAGTGAGTTCCAGGGCTACATAGGGAAACCCTGTCTCAGAAAAACAAACAGAGAAACAAACAACACAAGAAAAGAAAAACATTTTAATTTAGTTGTTTATATTTAGATGTGCACATTTTGATACGCAGACGTAATGAAATGATTGCTGCAGCTAATTAAATTAGCATATTTGTTTCCTCACGGCGCCCTTCATCCTTTAATCTTTCAAATGGTGGTAAGAGTCCCCGAGCCCCATCGCCCACCCCCAGCAAACCACAGCACACAGTGGGGCATTGCCGTCTCCAGGTCTGACTGTGCTTTGGATGCGAGACTCATCTCATCTGACAGAACTCCTTTTTCATCAGACTCAGCTTGAGATGAGGCGTTTATCTCCGACGCCTTCTGAAAAGGAGAAATTGAATCATACATTTCACTTAAATTGGTTCCCTGAGGCAATGATCTGTTTTGTGTTCCTGGATCCATTACATTTTGATTTTCTAAATCAAATGAATCTCTTGGTGAGCAGGGGAGATTGTGACCAGCCGCTTGGATGAGGACCCTTTCCCTGACTGAGGAGATTCTGGCATCTGCCAAAGTACCAAAGCCTGGACTGATAGCTGGATTGATTTTTTTTCTTTTCTTTTCTTTTTTTTTAATTCTTAAGTAAAATCTCTGAGAGCCGCTGGGAATGTACTCTATCCACCCCACACTTACAGTATGAATTGCGTGTTAGACTTTTTTTTTTTTTAAATTCAAACTCAGGGGTGCAAACACCCCATTTAATAGTCTAATTAATATTTTGCTGAGACTTCCATACCATATGCCTCTGGGGAAATCTCAGGATCTATGAAAGAGCTAAAAATATTCTACCCAAAGCCGAGAAACAGACTTAGAAAATGAATGAGAAAGGAAAGCTTTAATTTGGGTTCCCTAATTATAGTTACTGCTATATTTTAAAAAGAACAAGAAATAAAAAATGTCATGCTGATATTTACACCAAGCCAGGTTTGGTGCTGTGTCTTGTGATGGCCTCTTGGTGTGACAGGCAGTGTGGAGAAGCAGCTGACAAAGTGGCATCTGGCTCTGCTTGTCACCAGCCAGCTCTATGCCATGTGATAAGGCAGGTCTTTGTTTTCATCCCAGTCTACAGATCCATAATCTGCAAGGTGGGATGGCTGGATCAGATCAGGACCCGCTTCTCCCAGCCCTGGAATGTAGTTCAGCCCCTTTCACTCTTCCTCCCAATGAAGGCTTTGTCAGAGGTCAAAGGGTCACATCACCTTGGGTGCTAGGCCATGGGTCAGAGGAGGCCTTTTCTCTCAGCAGCTGCTGGGCAGAGAGACACTCAGGTGCTCAGGACTGAGGCAGCCAGGTTCTGTGGAGCTGAGGATGCCGACAGGCCCTGCTCTGCCTGCAAGGTACCTTGTCTCTGCTTGGTAGCTGATGGATTCTTGAATTTCTGATTTCCTCTTAGAGGAGACAGCCTATGCCTGCCTTGTTTCCCTCCTTGGTGCCTGGTGCCAAGACAATGCGGGGCATGAATTAGATGTCAAATGAACGCTTTCTGGGTGGATGAGGGCTGGGTGAACAGACAGATGGGAAGATGGTCCAATGCCTGCATGGTTCTAGAGCCAGCTCCGTTTTGACATCTGGCAGAATTTGTGCCAGTTGTGGTGTAGAAACTCCACTTGCATTTCATATCCCCTCCTTCACTGTGAGCCGATTTGCCAAAGGATGTCTGATAAACTTGTCTTTTCTCTCCTTGTTATGTTTAACAAACAACTAAAAAAGGAAAGAAGGCTTGGACGGAAATGTTCACCTGACATAATCACAGACCAAGCTGAAGAAATGGGCCTGCTATCTTGACGCATGACTATAACATGCTTATCACTGATCAGGGAATCTCTTCTTGCTTGGCCTGTCTCCGAGTGAGTGACATTGAGATGTGGCGCATGGTCCATGTCCAGAAATCAAGTGTAGAGCTGACTGGCTTGTCCACCCCATCCTGAAGGAATAGGCTGGGGGTAGTAGTGGCTATGGAAGGGGTGGGAACCAGTTATCCTCTCCCTAGATCCCTGGAGTCCCGTTCCTTCTTCATTTCTGCAGATAGTCACAAAACAAAACAAGATGAATAGGGCTGAAGATGGTTCATTTGCAGGGTGCTTGATGCACAAGTGTCAGGACCTGGAGTTTGGATTTCTAGCACCCATGAGAAAGCTGGGCATGGCTATATGCTCTTGTAACCCCAGTGGGCTTGCTGGACAGCCTGTCTAGGCAATTGGCAAACTCTGGGTTTCAGTGAAAGACCCAGATGAAAAAAGATAGAGCAATAGGAGACATTCCTTGTTGACTTCCAGTCTTTATAAGCAGGTGCGCATACGTGTGCACATAGGGACAGACGTCGCACACCCCGCCACATACACAACAACAACAATAGTAATTAGTTGAGTTATCCAAGAGTCTGTGTTGTTGAAGTGCCTGTGTCTTGGATTCACCTCTCTCCCCAAAGCTCCACTTCACATTTTTATCCTTCTGTTGGGCGGACTCTGATTAACTGGGTTGGGCTCTGTTCATCCATCCAGCATAAAGTGCTGCCTGTATAAAGAGCAGGGGAGAGGTGTGGGCAGTAGACAGCCGGCCATGTGGGGAGGGGGAGGCTTGAAGCTGAGACTCCCTGGGCCTCTGGCAAAGTCTTCCTCTCATTTGGTCCTAGATTGCCCCTAAATGTTATGCTTCCAAGGAAAGATAGATGTGAACTGCGTTCAAGTTTCCATCGAGTGTCTGCTTTCCTTCCTGATGGCTTTGAGGGAAGCTGTTTCGTAGAGTCTCAGTGGGCCCTTAAAATTGCCACAGAGCTATGAGCTGCCAGCAAAGCTAAATATTGTGAAATTAAAGTCCTAGGTGTTAGTAAAGGTTATATTTTTGTTCATCCTGGAGGAAGAAGCTGGGGGTGGGGGTGGCTGTGGCAGGGGTGGGTACCTCTCACCAGATGGCTGCCAACAATGCCCGATAAGCTTGTCTGTCATGGCTATTTAAGAGGAAGGTGCAGGAGCCAGGCTTGGCCTCTGGCTCACAGTGGGAGCCCATACCCTATGGCCTAGCATCTGCTCTGTGTCTGTTTGCAGGAGAGGCCAGCGCCTCTACCATGTGGGACAACAATGCCTGGACCTTCTTCTATGACAACAGCACAGATGGCGAGCCACCGTTCCTGACCCAAGACTTCATCCATGCCTTTCAGCCTGAAGCCAAGCTCATTGTCATGCTCAGGGACCCCGTGGAGAGGTGAGTGTGGGAGGGTGCCATGCTTTGCATTGTTTTTGGTGAAAAGAAAGGGCTTTTTGGAGCACAGTGTTTCCATCTCATCACAGACAAAAGCTGCCCGTTTAAGAAAAATAATAAACAAGCTCAACTTGCCATGTTTCTGCTGTTTCTTACATAAATGTTATTTTTAGGCCAATCCTCCATGCATTTAAACAAACTGTGGCCTATTCTCTTAGCAGTTTTGACTGTGGTCTGTGGGTGTTAGCCTCTGGTGGGTGGGTCTGACCAAGGGCCACAGGATACAAGTGCTGTTACGGCCTGGGGTTACCCTTAGCGTCGGGGGTGTTGGGATTCTCGGTGTGCTCTGGTTCCCAGAATTCCTTATTTCTTTAGTTGGTGAGTCCCCTTCAGTCCTCAGCTTTTAATGTGTATGTCCCTATAACCCTTACCGGCCCACCCCCACCTCCCTGGAAACCAAAGACTGGAGCTTGCATGAGGCATTGCTGATGGAGCTGAACAGATAGCACTAGAGTGGTGATGCTGTGTGTACTGTAGACTGCCAGGATCTTTATGTCACTTAGACTGCTGTGCCCTCCAGGTACCATCACGTCAGGAACAGGGGGTCTGGTCTCAAGATGTCCAGTCTAGGTCAGAACAGCTGTCTGCAGATGAACTGTCTTTTTTCCGCACCTTGTTCCCACTTATTCTCCTGTAAGCCATACAATCCAGTCTAATCATTTCCCACTAAGATAGCTACCTGATGTTTAAAGACAAGGCCTGCAGCCCTTTGTGCCTTATTTTCCATGTGTTTCTTTAAGTTGAATTATGACCCCTGCCCTAGATAACATATGCTGAGATCCTAAGTCCTGGTAGCTTTATCTGGAAATTGGGCCTTTGCAGATGAATTAGGGGATTTACCGTGTGAAGAGATTGAAGGATGTGGCCACAAGCCAGGGGATGCCAGGACCGCTGCACCCATTAGAAGCTGGGAGAGAGGTGTGGAATGTTAGAAGAAGCCAACACCTACATTTCACAAACCCGGCTTCCTGAATGACGGATGAAGATATTCCTGTCCTGTGCCAGTGGTGTGTGGCACTTTGTTACCACAGCCCTAGGAAATGCCTATTTGATTTCCTCCTCAGATGGCATGGCTTCCTGGCCTGACTGTAATGATAGCTGCGTTTGTTGTGGAGGTATTAGGGAATACACCCGAAACTGTGAAGGAAACAGGCTGTGTATGCTCTCCCACGCAGATAGCTATTAGTTATGTTTTTTGTGTGTTCTTCCAGACTTCTCTCCTGTCAGGTGCACATGTGTGCCATGTGTGTGCATCTGTGAGCACAGTTTTGTGACTATGTAGTCTAGCCTCCAGGGTTGCTGCCTGAGAGCACATGGTTGCCCTTCTCACTTGCTGAGCAGGGTTTCCAAATTTTCATGAGGCTCCAGAGGGGCTCCAGCTCTTCTTTAGAAGACTATTGGACAGGGACCATCTCTCGGGGGCAGCCTGGGACACAGGAGCCTCCTAGATCTACACTATGGGACAGCCACTGCATGGGGTTCCCAAGGCAACCGTCTACTTCTCTTCTAGGCAGGAAGTTGACCGTTTTTTTTTGTTTGTTTGTTGTTGTTTTGTTTTCATGGAGTGGGCTGGGTTTTCCTGGCCCAGAACAGCGGAGTGGGGGGTACATTCCTGTGGACAGGATTGCATAACTCTGCAAAAGACAGGCTTGAGGAAACTGACCCTCACTACCCACTGAGGTATTTTGACAGCTGTGTCTCCTTCATCTCCCATGCCACCTCAGCCCAAGTTCCCTGGTAGAACATTCTTTCTGATCACCACACACCTCCCTACTGTTCTTCCTGCTGCTTAATTCTGAGCAAGGTCAGTCAGATAGTGCCCAGTTTCAGAGCCTGAGAACTGAGGCTTTGGCAAGCACTCAGGGTCGATGGGGACTGAACGGTCTGACTTGCTTCTGTGTGTACCAGCCCCAGGAAGACCGGAACTCCCAGGCTTGCTGGGGAGACAGGCATGCTGCCACTGTATGTCATCATAGTCCTATCAACTACAGCTGGAAGGGAGAGAAAGGGAGCAAGCTTCCAAGCACGGAGGACCCTCAGTTGGAGGAGCTTCTCCCAGGCTGGGTTTTTAAAGGACAAGTAAAAGTTTACCACACAGGCAAGGATGGAAGGTAATCCAGGAAAAAAAACCACCCTGAGTCGAGAAGACATTACATATAGAGACCGTATGTCTTCTTGTTGGAGAGTGGATCCATTTCCCCCAGAGTGTCTTTTCCTGGAATTGTGCCTCTACCTCTGAGGATAGGAGTACTAGGAAACTGAGCCCTGGAACATCAGGCCAGCCCTGCTAGCCTGGCTCAGACATGGGGCCAGAAGAAGGACCTGTTCTACGTGCTTTCCTGGCCTGGCCATGGAAAGCACCTTGTTTCAAGTGTCCTACTCTGTGTTTCCTTCTTGCTTTGTTTCTTAGGGAACAAATGACCCCTGCTAGAAACTGAAGGCGAGAGCTTTCACCCTTTCTTGTCCTCAGCTTAACACATCCATGGAAGCACTTACTGAGCCCTTACTGTATGCTAGGTGTTCTGCTGAGTGCTTAGTTGCTGAAAGGCAAGCCCTGATAATGGTCCAGGGCTGCAGGCATTGCCTGTGTTGTGACCAGTGTGATAGTATTGGTGTGGGGAGGGGGAGGGAAGGATGTCTAGCAGCATTAGGCAGAAGGCCTACAGCATTAGGTAGCTAGCCGTGTGATAAGCTGCTGCAAGATGTCATAACTTCTACTGGCCACTTACTTCCTTTTCTGGTGGTCAGTGGCCTCAACGCTTCATCGCTGGGTTTTCTGCTTCCCGGTCAAGGTGTCTGTTAGTGTTGGGGTCTTATCCAAAAGCTTGGGAGGAAGGCTGATCAGCTCTCACACTCACATGGTTGTGGCCAAACTGGGTTTCTGCGGGGCTGTTGGCACACAGGCCTCCCTCTGTTCTGTTCTATTGTGATTTAGCTGGAGGTGGCTTTCAATCCCTGGCCACTGGGCTTTTCCAACATGGCCAATGGTGTCACCCAAGCAACAAAGGAGGGGTTTGCTAGCACACCACTTGTGATCAATTGCTGCTCTGCCATCTCAATACTGTTGCCATAGTTTGTGGGTCACAGATGCATCCCCTGGTCCAGCCACTCTCCTGGGTGTTTGTTGCCCACCTGGTGCTTGGAAACCTGGCGGCCTGTCCTGTAGCCCGGAGAAGAGTAACTTCAACGTGACGCCAGCTCCAGTATCTGCAGGGGGTTGTCACGTGTGTGCTTGTGCCATGAGTTAGAGAGAGCAGCAGCTGTTTGCCACCTCTTACACAATACCCAACATATGCAACAGTGGGAATTTTGTCTTTTGAAACCCATAGCTCACGGCCTATCTGGAGTGGCCAGCTCAGCTCCTTCCCCAACTCAGCTGGAAAGAATGATAAATATTGTGTGTTTAGGCTACTCTTGAAGAAACAAACACTACAGCCCAAGTCCGAATTAGTCCAACTGGCTCCTGGGCCTTTTGCCCACTTCAGCTGTTCTCTGGCCTTGACTTCTGCAAGTTGGAGATTCCTTGGGCCTCTCCATGCTAGTTGAATTGGCCCAAATTGTTCATTTAATTCTACAAGTTAGCCAGGGTGGAAGAGGGGTCTTTGGAGATTCTGATTCACAGTTAGTTTTTATTTCTGTTAATTGATTGAAGGCCGAGGGGTTGAACGTGCTAGGATTGGAGGAGGCTAATCCTAATAATGTTTAAGTTCCCAGGGAGAGAGACAGAGCAATAAATCTAATCTCCACCCCGGGGTAAGATATAGAAATAATGTCTGTGGGGTGGTTTGAATGGCAGGGGCCAGCCATGAATTCATGTTCTAAGTCTCTCTCTGTAAGAGGCTGCAACAGTTTAGAACTAATGGATCCCTGGGCTAAATTGTCTACTTAATTAAAAAGAAGCCACCAACAGACAAGCAGAACTTTTCTTCACTTAATCCTTCTCTGAAATGGTCCAGTTTTTTTTTTTTTTTAACTACATCTCTTGTTTGTGAGATGACCAGTGGAGTTTGCTTCCTAATGCAAGGCCATTCTCTTTGAGGAATGGCTCATGAGGAAGATGCTGGCTCCCTTGGCCTTGTCACATTTCTCTTCTGTTCAAGGGACATGGGGAGAGGGGCTCTGCACCATATATTAAGGCTTTTATACATCTACAGTTTTGTTTTGAATTCTGTGTAGTCATAGCATGATGCCCAGAAGTGGATATTCAGGAGTGATTGCCTTCCACATTTCATGATGATGGGTCTACAAGGAAGAAGGGCTCCATTTGGTTAGGTAGACTTCCATCTTGAGCCTGATCTCTTGGGCCTTGAAGCCTGTAGAGCTGTGTCCTTCACCTGGTTATATAAACTGACTTTTTAAGCAACCCTCTGGACTGGTTAAGTGATTAATCTACAAATAAACCAGGAAGGGAAGGGGGTTTTAGATGAAGTGTGCCCATTCCTTTGTAGTTGCTCATGCTCGTGGAGAGCACACGATAACAGTGAGGCTAAGCGTTCAGACAGGGATGTAGGCTTGACTGAGGCCACATAGTGTGCAGAATGTGTGGGGGCGTGCAGGTGGGGAGCAGCTTCTACCGCTGAGTGTGTATGCAGATTCGCAAGTGGATGGTGTGCCAGAGGGACCACTCCTGGGTACCCAAACAGCTTGCCTCAGAATTCTAGCTCTGCCAGTAAAAGGTTTGCCACCTGGGGCAAGCTATTTAAGCTATCTGTGTCTTATTTCCTCATCAGCAAAATGGGGTGAGTGAGCTGTTATTCAATTAAATGTGCACTCGTAAATTCGCTCATCAAATATTATTAAGCACCCTTGATGCGCTGAAGGCGCTATGTACATACGATGCTAAACTATCCATCTGCTTCCTGAAGCCCATGGCTAGTGGAGGTCTGAGCACAGGTTTCAGTAAAATCAGTGCACCAGCTCTCTCTCGAGTGCTATGCCGTGTG